CTTTCCCTATCATCATACAAATAAGGTTAGAAGCTTGAGAAAAGGGTATGTGGATTGCATTTTGAAAACCTAATTGCAGATTTCCAGTGGGAAAGATCACATTTCCTTAAGTACATTTGTTGTGATTTATTCCACTGTATCCTGACTGTTTTATAGGCATTGTCCTTGCCCTGCAGGGCTTTCAGCCTAAGGTAGGCTGTGGATTGGCAGAAGAAAGGAGGCGAGCATGCACGTAATAAGGCACTAACTGGACGTATGTAATAATTTACTGGAAACCATTATGGAATCACCATTAGGTTATGTCATGGATGGCTCTGTCAGTATAGAAAGCTGTTCTCATTAAAAGTGCAGACCAGTCTCCATGTTTGAAACCTCTGAAACGCCTTCACATAGGCCTTTTCTTTTTGCGCTAGGCACCCTTGTGTCTGTGCTGGGATCAGATTCCTGTGAATCAATTTAAGTTCTTTAGTTACTCAATTTAAATTCCCATATGCCCTAATAAAGCCCCCAAATGAAGAATTAAAGTTAATAATACATCAATTCTGCAGCTCTACCAATAACCTTAACTATCAAAATGACAATGCATCAATCAAGTTGACATACAGCTAGTATCAACCATTAAAGTAACTGTTAAATTAACATCTACTAAAAAGTGCTGCTTCCATTAGTGAAGATTTTATCCGTCTCTCCTTTTTCCACCTTGCCTGTCTCACTTTTCCAATCCTGTCTCTTTCGCCTCTCACTGTTTGTTGAGTTTTTTTTCCTTTCTCTTCCCTCTCTTTTCTGCTTAGTTTCCTTCTGTTTTTCATTTTGCTTCCCTGTTCTTCTGTTTCATCTCTCTTGGTCCATAGATGCTGATTGCAGGAGTTCTCCCTTACCTGTTATTATCCTGGATGAATCTTTGTGGCTGCTCTAGCCTGAGACAGGGTAGTGGCATTTAGTGAAGTACAGCCTTGCACCTATCATAGCTGCTAAATGTAATATTAGTGCAAGAAGGTAAGAGTTTAACCTTTATTCCTGTCTCAATTTCCTGGATCTAACTAGGGAAAAAAAAATCTCTTTGTCTTGCAGGCTGACAAGGCTAGTTTTACTAATATTTTAAACTAAGGTTTACATGCCCTGATAGGAATGTGTATAGAATCTGAACATTTGCATATTCAAGTGTTTTCAATATTGCATGTATGTTGTGCTACTCTGAGTCCCACAGTCTTTCCATCAAAGTGTCATAGAATATAAACGCTAAGGTGCCACCTGGTAAGTTAAAAAGACAAGGCAAAGTTTACTATTTCATTGAATTGTGTAAGAAAATGAATAATGTAGTCTGAACGATAGCGACTGGATTTTTTTTTTTTTTAAATCTTCCATTCAATTTACCTTAGGCTATGCCGGTATTTTTATTTCCCTGTTGCTACAGGCTATATTATTGACAGCAGATAACAATGTAATTCAAGTGGTTAGAGGCAAAGCTTGAAGAGTTTGCAGCTGGATAAGGGCACATACGAGAAGAAGCAGAGTATGATCTGAGATTGTGAGAGACATATGCTGGCTATATATTTTTGTTGTTGTTGAAGCAGATATTCTCAATAATCATGGAAAGAATAACCAGACTGCCTGGCACTGAAACCTTGCCAGCCTTGGAGCCAATTGTTATTAAATTTCTGGTTCTTGAAAGACACTGCTTAGTAAATGGGAATTTCACTAGGGAGAAGTGTTTTATATAGGGCAAATGGTGTTTACACAATAAAATTGCTTGGCAGTATTGCTAGTAGGAGGGCTTCCTGAAAACTTGTCAAGATAGCTCTCATCAAAGCTTTTTACAATTTTAAAAATCAGGTTTTAGAGGAGAGAAAATATGGGGAAAACTGAGGAAGTGTTTCGTTATAGTGATTTTCCTCAGGAAAGGTGTGGCACCAATCGTCCCTACCAAGCATAGTAGGAATACAAAAAGCCATGTTTGCGCTGCTGTTGTCATTCCTCTCCATCTTTCCTAGTGTAACAAAGTGCCGGCCTTAGTTAATGTCCCTGGTTTTGACTCCAAGGCACTCTCTTCCCTCTTGTTCATGGTGTGGCTTCTGGGCTGTCTTTCTCTATGTTACTGACAAATGAAGGATTTACATCAAAGAGTATCGCAGAATCTTAGGGGTTGGAAGGGACTTTTGTGGGTCATCGAGTCCAGCCCCCCTGCCGAAGCAGGGGTAGTAATACTCCCAAAATACTATATTGCACCGTATGTGCGAATAATTCTTTTGTTGAGGTAAAAATGAGGATACAGCTACTCTATGTGCACCTTTCATCTGTGGATTTCAAAGCACTTGGAAACATTCATGTGCATTAATTATTTCCATTCTACACCCGGAGAAACTGAGTGTACGGGCTGTGGACAGGTGTTCTCCTTTTCAGATACTTCCGTGCCATTTGGAGGTAGTTACCTCAAACTGCTGCTGAAAGTTACAATCACTTCAGCAATAAAAAGTACCAGATGAGCACTACCAAATTCCTTCTGACTTTGCTAGAAGTCACTGAAGGCAGTTTGACCTTAACCAGTCTGACTTTGCCCCTGCCAACAGTGTTCTGGAAGCAGCGGTCTCCAGAAGTGTTAAAATGGAAGATATTTTAACTGATGCATTTTACCTGGTAGGAGGTGTGTGTGCAGAACTGTCAGAGATGTTCTGCTGTCAGGTGGGATGGGAATCAACTCAGGAGAAAGACCTCAAGACTCAGTGTCTACACACAGGTCACCAAGTTATAGTGCAGGGAACTCAGCAGCAACTCAGCTGACCAAGCACTTGCCTCTATGTTAGAATGAGCCAAATTATTCTTCGGGTGCTCTCTCTCTTCATCTTATTGACTAGAACTCCACCAGCTGTAACAGGAGCTTAGACACTTCTGTACAGGGAAGTCTGTCTGCAAGCTGAATTCCACCTTCACTAATTTGTGTGTCAGTGTGTTTGCTTTTGTTCACAAGCCTGAGCCCTTATAGGTGGACTGTTTTATTTGTGGTCACACAGTAAATCTTTAGCAGAGTCAGGAAGAAGACCCCTTGACTCCTAGCCCAGTGTCTTGTCCACAAGGTAATTCTGCTTCTCACAAGATACTTAAGGAAAACAGCAAGTTTTAAAATTTCAAGTTCCATGCTAACCCTAAGCAGGCTAAATATTTGTGTATTTCTGTGGTTAACTTTACCCACAGGGATTGCTTCAAAACCCCATAGGGATTTCTAAACACGGAGGGCTGGCAAGCACAATTTGTTGCTTGAATTTAATTACTTGGTGAAAAATTTGCCAGCGTGATTGAGTTCTATGGAAGTGTAATCTGGTGTTGTAGTGGTTTTAGCAGTGAGATTTCTGTTGTCCACAAAATCCAGTCCTCGTTGATGTAGCTCGTTGGGGTCACTACTTTGTTTGGTAAAGTAGAGCATCAGAAAGGGAAGCCCTTTTGTGCCAGGTACCATGCAGGTTAGATTGCCTCCCCTGTTTCTGTTTCCTCCCAAAACAGCTACTTTCCACAAAGGTATGGGAATCAGTGTGAATCAGTGTCTGATTCAGTCCTGCTAAAGTTAGTGGTACCTAGGCAATGAACAAAGACCACTGTGGAAATGAGTCTTGGGTCTCATTTGTAGCTGAGACCTGTGAAACTTTTTGAGCTGCCTAAGCAGAGCAAGGTCTGCTTATAGCATTGGGTCTCTGAGGAGAGCTGCTTGCAAATTCTATGTATTTGCAGTTAGATGATGATAACTTTGGCAATACTGAAGCTGTTTCCTGTGGAGAATACAGAAAAGTAAGAAGAAATGCTGCAAATGCCAAGTTGACCTTATTGTGTTTCTTGATTAGATGAAATCAGTAAAGCTTTTACTTAGAGATCCAATTGCAAGTTGAATGTCTGTTGATTTTGTTTGTCCATTTGAGTTGGCATGATTGTTCCGAAGCGCTTGCCATCATTACTGATGGTCAGACGTTCTCCTTCTCTGCACTAGAGTGAGACTGCTGTAATGGCCTTGCAGCAGGTATTGAGGAAGCGGCCATCCCACTCTGGGCTCTCAACTTTGCTGCTGTTTCCACTGTCCTAAGAGGTGATGGCTTTTGGTGGTGGTTCTTTGGTCTTGTTGTGCAGTCTTGCTATACACGTTAAACCTTGCTGAAAATATTTTAGTTCTCTGCTCCATATTTTTTACACTGCAAGTATTTTCCCTTCCTGTCCCTAGCCAACATAAGGCTTAGTCGTATGGGTTGCTTGGTCCAATAATGAGTTGTAGTTTTAAGGCCAAATGTGTGGATTCTGCAGCAATGTATTTTTAAATGAGGCAGTCCTGAGAAAGTGCTAAGAACTGTAACCGTTGTTGACAGAGAAGAAATGACAGAAAGGGGACACTATCTAACATCTCTTGAGCAGGGTATTTTTTTCAGAAATAGCCTGTCTCCTGGGTTTAAGAAGAGCTGTGCATGATAGCAAAATGTCTTTTGTGTGGTTAAGCATTTTTTATTTTAAATGAATGCTGTTGTACGCTAAACTTTGGAAATGGATTAGTAAAGAAAACAGGATCATTGGAGCTTAAAGCAGCTTTACATTTCGACACATTGCCCATTAATATCATTTGCCTACAGAAGAGGTCAGTGATGCATGTGGGTATCTCAACCCTTCTCGCGTAAGGTGATTTTAATGGGGGCAGAAGTCTTACCTAACATGACAGTCACCGGCACTGCCGAATGTTAAGAGTCACTTCTTGGTGCATTTTTTAAAAAGACTGATCTCTAGAACTGGTGATCTTACGTGTGATCTGAGTGCTAATTCTTTCTTCAGTCTTCACAGAGTCTATAAGGAACTTCTGCTAACAAATAGTGAGGCCCTGAGCTGTGTAACGCACATGTATGATATTTAATCTCCCAAGCACAGAGCTCAGTTGTACCATCCATGTCCAGTCTTCTAGGGTGACAATGGAATCTGGCACTCAACTCCAATTGCTCAGCCATCGCACATTATCTCTGAACGTGCTGCAGTGGTTTAGTATTACGTTATGAAACCTGTTTAGAAAATATTTCTTTTGAAATTTGCTGTTGTGTTGAGCCGAGTGATTCAGCATAGTTTGAGCATTTCCTCCCCTGGGTAAATTTTAGGTAAATTTAAATTTCAGTGTGATCCCCTCAGATGAGGGCTACCCTCATTTTGAACAGACCTTTGATTTATAGACACTCGCATGCTAGTAATAGCCATCCTCTCTCTAATGTAAATTGACAATGAGCTCCAAAGGACAAATAGAAATTTCCTACTTCCAGGTTTTCTAGTTGTTTTCCTTCCCCATCTGCCATTTTTTTGGAGTTGGTTTCCTGTAATACAGATGTGCTCCGAAGGCATGGGAGACTTCAAGGAGAGGTTTGGCTGCCCGCTAGAGCTACGGGCATATTTGCTGGAAAGGGTAGAATTACAGCCGCTGCGGTGGAGCTTCTGGAGGGAGGTTTGTGGTGGTGTCAGCAATGCCCTTTCAAATGCATGTTTACTCTGTAATTGTGGAATAAAAATGACAAAGGGAGAGGAGGGCCTGCTAATTACTAATAGTGATGTAAGTTACTGTGTGTGCAGAGATCCTAAGAAGTAATTTTCTATGTATTTTTTTTCCTTTGGAATCCTTCTGTCAAGCATATTCATTACAAATACAAGCCCAGACTTTTGATCTGAATCTAGCTCATTAGTATCATTTGAAAACAGTTTTGTTTTCTGGATTCCTTGGAGATCTAGCTGTTGTTGAAACCGTAGTTTCTGAGCACAGCTTCTAGCTTCACTGCTGACAATAACAGGACACAAGGAAAAAGCTAGGGGAAAGTATGTTTGAAGTGCTCAAAATTAGAGCCGTACAATGCGTTTGAAAGCGAGCTTTAACATATTGGTCTCTCAACTGTTATTTCGCCGATTTGTAGAAGGCTACAAATATCACATTCCCCAATGTGTTAATGTGTTTTAAATAAAGCACTGACATGGCTGGTAGCATGTTTCAGCATTTGTCTGATCTCTTCTCTAAATAGTGTCTGTCTCGGAAGCACTGTGAGGATAAATTAATATGGTAGAGAATATTGTAGGTTGCTAAAAGTGTAGGATTTTAGTTACATAGGTAAGTAGGTACCTGTATCGTATTATTCTACGAAATTTGATAGAGGAGTTTGAGGACTTTTTAGTCTGTTTTCCAAAGAGATGAGGCTTATGCTTTTTTTTTTAACTCCCTGCCAAATGTGGTCAAAATATATATAGGAAGCCTAGGAGGAAATATATATAGGAAGCCTATAGGAAGATTTCATTAGTTCTGTTGCTCATGGAATAACTTGCGGAGCCTTTAAAGTCTGAGCTGAATTTTTTCTTCTTTTAGATTCACGGATACTCTTGCATAAACTTTGGAATCAGCAGTGGTAAACACTTAGGAGGGCAGTAAGGACCAAGGCATATCGTTGAAGCCTTTCCTTCGTGTTTTGTGAATAGCGCTACGTATTTGAATTTCAGAGAGAGGAATTAACCAGAAGAACGATTCAGGTTTTGTCCATTTGTCTCTTCCAATAGCAGTTCTACTCTGTGAAGAGATGATACTTGGAGTGAGATCTAGCTGATTTCTGTTTCCCCTGTAATCCTTTACATGCTTAACTTTTCATGCAGAGTAAGGCCCTATGCCATTTTTCTGTGGCTCTGAGCTTCCAGATTCATCACCTCTGCTCAAGACAGGTCTTTGGTCTTGCTTTGCCCCTAGCTACTGAAATTGTTTCCCACAATTTGGTACGAATTCTAACTTCTCCCAAAAGGTGTCTAGATTTTCTATTTTATAAACCTGTCATAAGTTCCATTAACTGTTTCCTTAATGAAGTCTCCTGCACCTAAAAGCTATTTCACCGTATGTACTTTGCAGAAGATAGTTCAAGCACCTATATTATGCAAGTATTTAAACTAAGTTAATCACAGAATCACAGAATGGTAGGGTTTGGAAGGGACCTCTGTGGGTCATCTAGTCCAACCCCTGTGCCGAAGCAGGGTCACCTAAGAGCAGGCTGCACAGGACCTTGTCCAGGTGGGTCTTGAATATCTCCAGAGAAGGAGACTCCACAGCCTCCCTGGGAAGCCTGGGCCAGGGCTCCGTCACCCTCAGAGGGAAGAAGTTCTTCCTCGTGTTCAGGTGGAACTTCCTATGCTTCATTTTGTGCCTGTTGTCCCTTGTCCTGTCACTGGGCACCACTGAAGAGTCTGGCCCCATCCTCCTGACACCCACCCTTCAGATATTTGTAAGCATTTGTAAGGTCCCCTCTCAGCCTTCTCTTCTTCAGGCTGAACAAGCCCAGCTCCCTCAGCCTTTCCTCATAGGAGAGATGCTCCAGTCCCCTCATCATCCTCGTAGCCCTCCGCTGGACTCTTTCCAGTAGCTCCTTTTCATCCTTCCTAGCCAGATTCTGCAATCAGTCATTGCAGAAGACGGGATGTTTTTATGTATGCTCTGCCTGGTGTCGTGGAGCTAAAGCTAAAAGTACTAATTCAAGCATAAAAAGATGCAGTAATTTTTTTCCTTTTCTTTTGCAGTGCAATTTTCCAGAGAACCAGGATGGCTAGAAGGCACGCTAAATGGCAAGAGAGGACTTATTCCACAAAATTATGTTCAGTTTTTATAGCTTTGTGCATTGAACGCCAAGAAGGTGTACATGGTATCCATGGATATTTGCTACAGTCACTTCTCTCTACTTTTGTGACTGCTTTTAATCAACAAAGAGCCTGACTTTGGGTTGGAAGATCCTAATCTGTATAAAGACATTAAGTGTTGCCAAATACGAATTACAGAAAGAGATTCTTTACGGGTTGGAATGGGTGGGGGAACAAGAAAGAGGGATGGAGGGATAGGTTAATTTTTTAATAGGGTGCTTTTTTCAGTTGTGAAGAGCAGTAGTGGTAGGTTTGTTTGCAAGGTAACTAGCATTTTAAGTCAAATATTTGGTTGATCCGTGGCTCAACTGTCAGTTGAAGATTTTTATAAACTTAGTGTCCTGGGGATTACACATTGATAACCAGCATTTTTAACAGAATATTATTTGGGTTTGAAAAATACTGTTGGATAAAAAAAGCTATCATCCTGACAATTAAATTATATTTTGAAGTGGAATAGACAGTACAGGACAGACACCGGTGTAAAATAATAGGTATCAAGACATGACATTTTTCAAATGTCTTCAAAGAACACATTCGTTTGTTGTGTGTATGATTTCATTTATTTTATAAAGATAAGACACATGAACTTTTATTACGGGCTTCTATATGTCATGGCTCCTTTGCTACTCAACAATATCACTGTAAATGAAATAAAATGTTATTTGCTATTTGACTTAAGTCATTCCTATGTTGGAGAATATTTTGCTCTGGTTCTGTAAGTTATGATGTGAAATAATTATAGGCAGCTGTATGCAGTCAGCCTCAAACACACTCCAAAATGGATGAGGAACTTTCCTCACTTCTAATAGGCAACTCTGCAAGCTCAAGCCTAAAGGAAAAGAGAATCTCTGGCTATGATCCCTGTGCATCCTGGAGGTCTCTTGCATTTTATCTGTTGTCCGTCTGTCTAGCTCCTCCTTCAGCTTCCCTTTCTTCCTCCCCTGTAATTGTCAGTTGTAAGGTCTTAATGATACTTCATAGTATCAGAATCCTCAAGTAGCTGCCTTGTAATTTGTAGAACTATTTGAGTAGTAAGAGAGTTATCTGATGTCACAGAAAAAGCTTCCAGAAATCTAGTGGTGTATAGATCTGTGCCTTGTGAGTAAAAAACAAAACCAAAACCAGAAAGTTACATGTAGTTTATCATTAATCTTTGTATTTTTCTCTCTTTCAAATAAGACCCTCTGGGAGGTAGTGGAGAGTATGCAGGAAAGTATGACAGGATGACATGCTAATACAGGCTCACCTACTTGTTAAATTGGATTCTGTGGATTTTGAGTAATTTTCTGCAAATATACTTAGCTTGCAAGTTTTTCTAACTAATGTGATTAGTGTAAATCAGTTAATGGTTAATGCTGCCTTAAGGTTGAGATGGCTTTTTTCCCCCTTAACTCCATACCATTATTTTGTTCCTTTGCCCAGACTGCAGAGACCACTGGAGTATGCACAAATCATTTCCAGATGGAGCAATGGTGGGCCAAGTCAGTACAGTTCTCCAGCACTAAACCTCACAGCTTGGAGCAGTTTCATTTGGTGTATTCTCGTGGCATCTGAGCAGTGGCTCTCTGCCAAACAGCTTTTAGGCGATTCTTGTCTTGGCATAGTGGCTAAGTGACCCAGTCACTGAAGATGACTTCTGGACTTCTGTGAAGGAGATCCAGTTCTTTTATTTACTCCTTGACTCAGTGTTAAGGAAGTAGTTGCACCAGTACATACAGCACCAGACTGCAGGTTTCCTTACTCAGATTTGTTCGCATGGCCAAAGCGCTGTTCTGGCTGGGTATCGCATCACCTGGGCCCACAGCTTTATCAGCTCATTTGTGGCCTTAACGAGTCATTCTGGAGGCAGGATGGTGTTTGTGTGGCCAGACTTAGTTTTCATGGCTGCCAGTTGGTGGAAAATGTTGAAAGAAGAGGGAGAATGTAAATCTTTGGCATTAGCATAGTAGTTGTGGCAGCTAGGTATGCTGGCTCTCCAGATAGCAAAGCTGTGATAACTTGAGGCTTACAAGCTTTGTAAGTTGCTTCCATTTGTTTTGTTTTTGTTTTAAACGTGCAGTGCATGTTTGATCTTGTTCTGGCTGCTGTCTTCCAAAATTCTCAATCTATTTCTCAGCTCTAGCTCTGTGGATTGGTTTGGGTGGTTTTTGCGGTTTTTTTTCCTCCAATTGATGTGGTTTAAAAAGGCAGATATATAGAGAAGGAATAGAAGTCTTAGTATCTCTTCCATCCAGTTCTGTGACCCTATTTGCCTTTAGGTGAGATGTTTTGAAACTCCTGTTATTTCTAGAGCCACGCAAAGAAGAGGAAACTTTTCTACTGAGAAATGATATACTGAGCAGAGGTAATACTAATCTGAACTTTCTCACGTCCCAGATGTTGTCTAAAGGCAGTGATGTCAGCTGAGCCAGATCAGATCTGGCTTTCAGGCCAACCGCACTGCCTATTAGGAATTTCGTTGTGGTAACTGCTACCCACTGTATGGGTTTCCACATCAGCCCGGTCATACTAATGTTGAGTACAGACTCGTACAGCCGAGTAACCGTGGTACATCTCATTCTTCATCCTCACTGCTGAACAGTGCTGCAGACGATGCCCTTGTGCTGACTGCCCTTGGCAGTAGAGATTAAAGGATGTTAAAAATTAATAATCATATAAAGAAAGTCAGGCCCCTTTCCCATCCTTTGAGATTGTTTTCTTCCCTGAAGCTGGGCCTTAAGGCATGCCTCGTCTGTCTTCCATGGCTTGGTAGATTTGGAGAGAGCAGAGTAATGCATTCTTAACTTGAGGCAGGAAGGAGGACAGGGAGTCAGTTGTGGAGAAAGCCAGGCGAAGGGCTCTTCTCTCTTGGCCTGGCAGCAGGAGTGGTTGCTCTTTGTGGGTCTGGCCTGACTCCGTCCTCTCAAGGGAACTGCTCTCGTGTCACAGCTGTGGGTACAGGCTCAGCTCAGTCCTCAGGGTGGGTTCCCCCTCCCTTCCTATGCGCTGGTTACTGCATATAGGGACGTGCACTTGTCAGTTTTCAAAAGCGGAGACTCGTGGTAGTGAATGCATGGCACAGGCTGAAAATTAGAGACAGTGAGTTAGAAGAAAAAAAACACCCCATTTTGTGCTTTTTATGCAAGATGATGTTTGCCTTGCTGTCACTGTGGGGCCAGAGCTTGGGGATTAAAGTCGAATGTGTGTTTGCTGAATAATTAATGGAAATGCTGAGACTCCTGACTAGCTGGGATCAGTAGGAATTTACAGTCTGTTAGTCACTGGACAATGTGCAGCTCTGTGCCTTGGCTGGGCAGCATTTTCACTCTGCTGGGTGAAACCCCCCAGGTTTTTCAGGCTGCTGAATGTTGTTAGTCGTTGTCCCAGCTGATCTTCATGGCAGGCTTCCTTCTGATGCCCAGTCTTTCAGGAAAAAGCTCACTGGCTGATCTGTCTGCCCTGTAATGAAAATAAGTGTTCCTGCTACACTACTTACAGATTTTTCATAGCTGAGCCTCTCTAATTGTATCACAGAAAAGACTCGGGGAGAAACCTGCCTTTCTCATTGCTCTGTTCCTTGTTCTTTTTCTCTTAACTCATTTCACAATTCTTACCTGGATTGCAATTTAAAGAGAAAAGTTGCTGACAGAGGGCTCATGTAGGCTGTAAATACACCAGTGCTGAAGAAGGTTTAACTGAAAGTCTTCACTGGACTTCCACCTCTTAAGCTGAACATGCCTTGGACATCGTTTTCTGCATCAGAGTTCAACAGGATGCCCTCATCTGTGCTTGCAGTAACCACGGGTAAGCACCAAATAAACGTCATCCTATCAACAGCTACAATTAAAGTGTTTTAAAAACCTTACGGCATGTCATGTTTTACCTAGCAAAATCTTTGAAATAAAAGGGCATTTTTTTCACTCCTTTCTATCTTGGTACGATTGTACTCATCATAAACTGCCCGTCTCTGTAGACACCTGAAAGAAAGCAGTGTCCCAGCCTGAGGTCAGATTACAACTTTCATTATGTTTTTTAAGTAGTGATGGCATTTTCTTATTTCTAGAACAGCTTATGACAGATACATCTACTTGTAAACATATGGGGAGTTTTTCTTAACACTGCTGATCCTCTACTATTCTTTCCTTCTGACAATTCAGCAAACAGAAGGCAGGTGCAAGGATCTGTGGCAATAAAAAGTTTGTGTAATTGTTACTAGAAAAACAAAATGCAATTAAATGGTGGTCTTGGACCACAGATCTAGCTTTGTGCAGAACTTAGGGGTGAATTTTTGAGATGGACAGTGCCCAGAACAAACCAGGATAGCCAGAGTTGTATTTCCCCTTCTAACTATCTTTCCCTAATTATAATTGGAAAAGACCTGACCCTGAGAAGGCACTTTGATTTAGTCGCTGGGGAAACCTTGGGTACATAAAATAGTGAATCCCTATTTCCAGGAGAGAAATTCTAACTTTGGTCAATGGGTACAGCAGCTCTTGGTGAACTGGAACTGGAAGCCAGACTTGTCTGGCTCTGGAAGGTTGCTGGGTTTGTTTCTTCGAGTGGGATGTAGCTTGTGCATGTAACAGTGTCAGCATGTCATCTGGCAAGCACAGTTAGCCAGGGTAAGTGAACCAGATCCTCACAGTTGGGCATTCCTTATTCTACAATGTGAGTAGCTGCTCTCTGGCTGAAGCCCATCGTATGTGCTGCATCATCCAAATTAACAGAGCTTGATGAACCCAAATTTCTCGATGAAGATGTTATATTACATTGTTAGTTACTTCATGTTACTTAATACTGTTTCTAGATGAGCAGAAGCTTGTCTCTAAGGATATCCCTGCACCAGCACCTATCTGAGATTAAAATGCAAGAAATACTTGCAATCAAACCAGTTTAATTCATGTATATTTGTACAATTTGTATTAAAAAAAAAGGTACTTGCAGACATTAACATAAAGACCAAACAATATTTTCTATTTATTTAAAAAGC